GCAAACCGCAGTCGACTACATGGGAGTCCAGCGACATAGCCACTACGTTAACTGCTGGTCCCTGTTATTATTATTTCTTAATTTGACCAGATAGAGAGGGAGAGAGTAAAAGGAAAGTGAGAAAGCAAGTCATCAGGTCTAGGACTCAAACTGTGGTTGGCTATGATGGAATCCAGAGCCTTAACCACCATGCCACCTGCTGACCCCATCTTGGGAAATTTTACTTCCACTCCTGTCCCTGCCCACCCTATTCTTTCAAGTTACCTACCTCATAGAAACTATTATTTACCAAGTTCACCTGTCTCCTTTGGACAGCATGATTTAAATGGTGGTGATATTTAGCATTCAATAGGAACAAGGTGATCAGACACCAGTGAAATTAATGGCAACTTTTTTTTTTTCCTCTCTCTCTGCTGTATATTTTCTTAAGTAATTTGTTAACAACAACACTGCCAAGCACAGTAGACGGGCTCTCTGTAGAGAGCATTTCCGATTCCTGGGAGGAAGAAGGAATACAACACCTGTGTTATCTATCTCTTGAAAATCACCTAGATTCATGTTCTAATTAGACAATTCCTTTATCTGAACTGCATTCCATTTCCAGGATTTGGAAGAGCTAAAGAATTGGAGAGAAAGGGACCTTTCAATCCTCATGACATCACTTTTCAAAGAGGATATGGAGAAAGTAATTTAAAATTTGAGAAGAGTCTGATTCTCTTACTTACCTAAATCCTAACACATGGATTTCTTTGAATCCTGGAAGTTTCTTAAATACCTTTTGAATCTGCAGAAAGAAATTTATAAAATATTCTTTAGTTCTAGTGGGTCAGATATTACCTAACTGAAAAAGTCTAAACACTTTTGAAGAGTTAGGAGAAAAAATGGGGATGGAAAATTGAAACAACAAATGAGGCCATATCTTTGTTCTCAGTTATTTCTGAAACCCAGAGGAACGTATTTTGCTACTTATTTAAAAGCTGTAATTGGGTGGTTCTGACCTGCTTTAATGGTTACTTTACATAAAATATACAATAACTTTAAAATGTATTTGGAGGAAATTTTTGGCTGTAGGATTTTTGCTTATACATACAAAATAATACTGTGGCCCTTCCTTATCCTTGGGGGATATATTCCAAGACCCTGGGGAGCTGCCTGAAACTGCAGGTAATACTGAACCTCACCTATGCTGCTTTTCCTGTACATACATTTGTATAGTAAAGTTTAATTTATAAATTAGGCAGAGTAAGAAATTAGTAATATCCAATTATAAAATAGAAAAATTGTAACAATATTATGTAATAAAAGTTATGTGAATAGATCTCTCAAAATATTTTGTTGTGCCATGTTTAACTATTTCTGTACTATGGTTGACCACAGATAACTAAAACTATGGAAAGTGAAACCACAGATAAGATGGGGACTACTGTATGATATTTTCTGACTCTAACTATAGTTAACTACAATATTTTTGAGTTAATTGTATAGTTTGGAAAGATCTAGTCTAATAGATTAGACTAGTTCTTTGATTCACCGAAGGTCACATTTTCTTCATTAATTTGCCTTTCTTGTGAGGCCTGTTACCAGGCTATTTTACAATGGTTATATTAATTCCTCCCCAGCCCACAACAACCTGACTTCTGACCCTGAGTTCCCCCAGAAGGAAGGTTTCTCTCTAGGTCACTGTCTCTTGGCTCTCTCTAAAACCAGAGGTATTTTCCATTCCTCCTTCACTCAGTTGCTGCTCTACTTCTTTAGTTTCTCTGTCTTTCAATCTATAAAGTTTGGTGAATCAAAGAGCTAATCTAATCTGTTAAATTAGAATCTGTTTCTTCATTTTGTTTAGGCATACCAGCCATTTTGAATTTAATAAATGCTTTTAACACTGTAGATATATTTCCAAACTATATAATTAACTAAAAAATATTGTAGTTAACTATAGTTAGAGTCAGAAAATGTTATAATAGTAGTCCCCACCTTATCTATAGTTTCACTTTCCACAGTTTTAGTTATCTGTAGTCAATCATAGTCCAGAAATAGTTCCAATAGTTTCTCAGTCTTTCAATTTCTTTGTGCCATCTTATTTCTGTCTTCACTCTCCACTTTAAAAATGAGGAGGCTGCAAACTTCCATCCTCAGCCTCCTCCTTGCTCTCACTCTTCTATTTATTTCATAAGCTCGACTGTAGGTCTCCTGCTAGGGAGGCCCTGGGATCACTGTTACATAGACTGCCCTACCCAGTTTTCTTGTAGGAAGGCCTGGAAGCAAGAGAGACTAAGAGGAAGGGATAATAGTTTAGTAGTGAAGCTTGGGAGAGAAAGAACGGTGAATGGTAAGGTTGAACAGAAGAGCAGAGACTCATTCCTGTCCTCTCCTGTCTTTCCTTCCCTCTCCCTCCTTTTGGGGAGATCTTGTTTTCTCTCATGACGTCAATGATCACTCAATACATGGCCTTTAGTTTTCCACGTAAGTATTCCAACATTTGCCACCAATTAAATCTTCCCAAGTAAGAGTGATTCTCTTTTCCCTAAATTTGCCTTCCTTCCTGGCCTTGCCATCTTGATCAGGGTCATAAGCAACCATCATCTTCCATGCCAGAAAGTCCAGTATCCCCAGATACCTTCTTTCTATGCCTTTCACATGCAGCCAGCAACTCCTTTTGGTTTGAATTGCACAGTGATTTTTGTTTCAGTCATATTCTTCTTATTTTCATGCCCGGCACTCCCTCATGTTCCTTCCTGCACTGCTGAAATGGGTTTCTGTGTGTGGGGGTGGGCAAGGGAGGAGAAATGGTTTTCTGGGTGTGTTGGGAAGGGGAAGGGGAGAAGGACGATAATTTTTCTCTAAGTTAAACATTTTGTATCATTTGCTCTTTACTAAAAATCCCTTGATGGGATACACTGCCTATTAAATAAGGTCCAGTTCTTTAGACTGGCCTTTCAAACCTTCCAGGCTCTATTGCCTTACCATTTTGTACCAGTCTCTACCTTCCTATTCCACTCTGGGCAATATTATTTCCTTGGCCAACATTGTGTCCTCTAGTGACACCAAACTGACTCCTATGTCTTCCCCTATACAACATGCACTTCTATTTTTCCAGGCTTCTTTGAATGATGTTTTCTTACCCCAAGGTCATGTCTCCTCATCTTCTGCTCATTGATTGCTCCCCCATCCCATATCCATTTTCAAAGCCAGCCCAAACATCTTCTTTAATGAAAAGCATTCGTAGAGCCCCAAAGCCAGGCTCAATTATTTCTTCTTTCTGCTAGTCTAGAATTTATTAAAGTATGTCTCACAAATTTCTGTGAGGTGTATATCAGTTTTCCTCACTGATACTATGCTCCCCAGCTTCAGGCCTCATGTCTTGCTTGTTCACCTTTATTTCCTCTCCTCCCAGTATCTAAGAGATTGGCATTTACATAGGAGGGACTCAGAAATTTGTTTGCACCGAGTGTATCTCTTCACTCTCTAAACTCATCAACATGCCACTGCACAATCACCAAATCTAAAATTACTGCTGACTTACATTATCCATGCCGAAGGCTAGAGCAGTGATGCTCAGATACCCCAAATCATCAACTACATTGACTTCTGGAGTGCATTGTGGGCTCCCCCCAAGCAGACTCATTTACTTTCTAATTATATTTTATGTGCTATTATTAAAGATGGTTTCTATTCCCTGAACATATAGGAACTGCAGTGATGAAGGTAGCTCAGTTTTTGGGTGACAAGGACGTACGCATATTGGCCTGGGTCTACATATTGGATCCACTACTCTCTAGCAGCAAGGCCTTGAGTTTATTGCTTAATGCTTCTGAATCTTGATCTCCTTTGCCAAAATGTGATGATAGTACTTAAATCATTTGGTTGCCATAAGCAATAACTATAGAGTAACAAGTGCCTGGCAGACAGAAGGACAGAGTTAGTGATACTGTATTATTAGTTCTTATTCTCTCTCTCTTACCGGATTACTAGCTCCTTAAGGGCTTGGTTTGTTTGACTCCGTCAGTGACTACACAGCATGGAGCCTGGCCAGGGTCGAGCAAGCTTTCAGTAAGTTATTTTTGGAAGACTCAGGGGAGAGGACAGGATAAGGATTTCTATGGAGGTCAGGGGCAGGGAGCTGGAGGGTAATAAGTTTATGCACCTTATCCTGTCATGGACCTAACAGGGAAGAGCTGGGAGATGCAGTTCTTCAGAGTTCATCTTTATTGTGGGGGCAGGCAAGAAAGGAGTGTGCACATGCTTTAGGTCTGTTCTGGTTTTTGGGTCAAACAGCTTTGCGAAATTTGTCATGTCATTGCAGTAACAGCACCAGGGACTGAACACGTAAGTGTGAGCTGCAGTTTTTGGAGCAGGAGATTCAGACCTTTAATCATCTCTCTTCTTTGCCCAGAATACTGGAGACACTTTATCCATAAGACAATCAGGCACAAAGCTGCCCTGTAGAAGCCGGCAGCTGCACCACTGACAGCAGGGAGGACTGCTGAGCAGAGCGTCCTCTCCTCCAGCTCCATGGCACTGTCTGGGATGGAGGGTGTTTGTTGTTTTTGTCTGTGTCCTCTTTGTGAACCTGTCTATGATTGTTTAAGAACCAGCTTTGCTTAGGAGGGTGTCGAAGGCATCCAGGGAGGAGATGACAAAAGTCTTCACTTAATTCTGCTAAATAATCTTCAGAGGGACCTCCCAATCATGAAGCACTAGCCAGTAAATTGCTAATTAAGTGCCCAGTTAACCTTATTAATAATACTAAATGCACAGGGGCCTCTGTGATTCTGCTGGAATGTGTATTAATGGGACTATAAAAAGGCAGCCGTGTTGAGTTCTCGTGAATGTTTGCACAGGATAAAGTATTCAGACAACAACTAAGCAATTTCTTTTGACATTTGTATCAAATTGCTCATTAGGTTTATTGTGGAAATTAAATTACTGCAAGGCACTGTCCATTAATTCCTGATTAGGCTCGAATGGCTGTGCTAATGCAGGCATTGGCCTTGGAGATGCAGATTGGTTATCTGATGGCAGGCTGGAGATGTTGAGTCCCTGCTCAGGATCCTGATAGGGAAATAGGCTGTGAACAGAGGGGCTCTTCAGAGAAACCAGTGACTGTACCAAGTGGAACCAGCTAGACCAAGGCAATGGGTCTTCAGAACAAGATGGGGCAAGCAATTGCTTTGGCGAGCAATTTTTCAAAGACTTGAAGGAGCATATACATTTAATCATAATCAATAGTCTTTTCCCCATAAATATTTATTTGGGGAAAATAGGAAGCACAGCATAGTGGTAACCAAGGATTCTGGTGACACGCTGTCTAGCTTGGAGTCTCAGGTCTGCCAGTAATAGGTGTGCTCATCACTGAGCATTTAATTAATTTCCTTGTGATTCAGTTTTCTAACATATGAAAAAGGGAACTAGAGGGACCAGCAGGTGGCGTGGTGGTTAAGGTGTTGGATACTCCCATGTGGTCAACCACAGTTTGAGTCCTGGACATGGTGGCTTACTTTCTCACTTTTTTTCTCTCTCTCTCTGAGTGTGTGTCTCACTCTGGTCAAATTAAAAAATAAATGAATGAATAAGTAAAATTAAGAAAGAAAAAGGTAAATAGGATTACATATCTGATTGTGTGAAAAACTAAATGAGTTAATACATATAAAGCATCAAAATAATGCTATTATTTCTATACAAGGCAGTTTAGACTTAGAAAGGAACTTTGAAGTCATCTTCTTTGATTTTTAATATCTGAGGCCAGGAAAATAAGTATCCCAAATTCTCATGGCTGATTCTTGGCAGAAATAGGGCTGGGACACAGATTTTTAAAAAATCCCAATGTATTTGTATTATTTTATATCAGGTAGTTTAAGGTATTTAGAAAATTAACAATAAGTCAATAAAGAGTCAATGGCCAATTGTCCAACTTTGAAGATGTTCTCATTACGCTAAGGATTTGCTGAAAAGAATATTTCAGAAGTTAAATGGAAAAGTTAATAAACTATTCTTAATTCATTCTAATAATCCATCTCTAAGTACTTCTATGCTTCATCCCATGCTGTCAGGTGTTGGATACTCCCATGTGGTCAACCACAGTTTGAGTCCTGGACATGGTGGCTTACTTTCTCACTTTTTTTCTCTCTCTCTCTGAGTGTGTGTCTCACTCTGGTCAAATTAAAAAATAAATGAATGAATAAGTAAAATTAAGAAAGAAAAAGGTAAATAGGATTACATATCTGATTGTGTGAAAAACTAAATGAGTTAATACATATAAAGCATCAAAATAATGCTATTATTTCTATACAAGGCAGTTTAGACTTAGAAAGGAACTTTGAAGTCATCTTCTTTGATTTTTAATATCTGAGGCCAGGAAAATAAGTATCCCAAATTCTCATGGCTGATTCTTGGCAGAAATAGGGCTGGGACACAGATTTTTAAAAAATCCCAATGTATTTGTATTATTTTATATCAGGTAGTTTAAGGTATTTAGAAAATTAACAATAAGTCAATAAAGAGTCAATGGCCAATTGTCCAACTTTGAAGATGTTCTCATTACGCTAAGGATTTGCTGAAAAGAATATTTCAGAAGTTAAATGGAAAAGTTAATAAACTATTCTTAATTCATTCTAATAATCCATCTCTAAGTACTTCTATGCTTCATCCCATGCTGTCTCTTTCTTTTTGAAGACTATAAAAATGATTCTTTACATTTTATTAACTGAATGCAGGTGCAGAGAAAGGTTGGAGGTTAAGGAGCTTTCACTTATTCATCATCTATCTGGCTGAGGGGGGGTTAGTACTGAATTTTCCAAGTATGAGAAGTGGAGGCCCATTTGTTCCCTGGCCATGCTGTAGGATCCATGAAGACCAGGATATTCATGATGTAGTTCAGTTATGGAATCTCATGGATGTTTCTAATTTTAGTTGCATATGTTAAAAAAAAATTGAGTGGTTAACTATATCCCAAGCTCTGCAGTGAGAAGTTAGCCTTCCTTATGATAAAGGATGTTGAACACTTTTTCATATGCCTTTTGGCTGTTTGTATGTCACCCTTAGAGAGTTGTCTATGCAGCTCATTTACACATGTTTTAATTGGGTTGATTTTAAAAAAAAATACAAATCAAAACAACAATGAATTACTACCTAACCCCATTTACAATGGCTAATATTAAAAAAATAAAGAATGATAAGTGCTGGTGAGGCTGTGGTGAAAAGGAAACTCTCTTACACTGTTGGTGGGAATGTAAGTTAGAATAACCACTGTGGAGAATAATACAGAAGTTCCTCAAAGGCCTACAAATAGAACTATCACATGATCCAGCAATTCCACTCCTGGAAATCTACCCAAAGAATACACTCAGCCAGAAAAGCACTTGCATGCCCACATTTATTGCGGCATTATTCAAAATTGCTAAGACATGGAACTACCCGAAATGTCTATGAACAGATGAATAGATTTTAAAGGTGTGGCACATATACCTATAAAATACTACTCAGCCATAAAATACAGTGAGACTCTGGCATTTGAAAGAGAGTGGATGAATATGGAAGATTTACTGCTAGGCACAGCAAGCCAGACTATGAAAGAGAGGAATTATAGGTGCCTGCTCAATATATACTGAATGTCTATACTCTATGGTAGAAACTGAAAGATTGGAAGGTATAAAAGTATGAAGAACAACTGTGGATACTAGAGACAGTGTGAAAGGAGGGTGGGAAATGGGGGGGGGTGAGAGGGAAGGAATCAGGGGAAAAAGAAAGAAGCAAAACATTTAAGGGACACAAAAATGGAAAATTACCTGTTGATAATAATGAGTATGGTAATATCTTTGACTAATATACAGTCTATTCATGCTGGGAAAATTAATTTTGTTTCTTATAATGACACACAGTGATTGAATGTAAAAAAGGTTAGGCTTCAGAGATAAAAGAAAGAGTTCCTGCTTTCAAAGGGAAGATGTGACAACAGTAGGGCCAGGTATTAATGAGCCCAGTAGAGAGGCTTGAACATAGAATAGGAAAAGGAATTTTCCAAAGTGCTGAGAATGAGATTTGGGGAAGGATATTTGGGACAGAAAGGCTAAAAGTGAAGACAATTTGCGCATAATTTGTTTTTCTGGAAACCAGAATGCAAAGGAAGGGGATGATGAAAAACTGGTTTAAGACAAGGCTGAAAGGGAAGGCAGAAGTCTTTATCATGGCATTTGGATTCCAAACATAGCATAGTAGTTGGATTTATCTATCAGGATATTGAAGAGTGTTTGCATTTAATCAGGGACAAACAGATATGGCGATAATCAGAGACAGAAGAGACATCTTGGGAAACGGCCTCAGTTTAGTAATTAATGACACGGACAACATAACTGCCTTACTATTTGTCACCCATGAAAAATGTCATGTCTTTAAATTACATCAAACTTCAGAAATATTATGTAAAGACAAAATATTATGAGTTAAAAATTCGTATTTCAATTCAGCATGTTCTTTAGTGGGTGCCTATGTGATCATTTTATTTTAACCACTTTATTGAGGTACAATTGTCACATAAAAGTTATACATATTTAATGTATACTTCTCAGTGAATCGGGGGTAAGTATGTAACCATGAAATCATCATCACAATGCTTATTGTAGACAGACTACCTACATAACAGCTTTCAGTTAAGTGATATTAAAGATCTACTAATATTAAAAAATCTAAATGAAAATAACTTTTAAGAATGAAAAAGCTCAGATAGAAAACTTTCTTGGAGGTGCATTTGTTCTAACATTTTGGGACCCATTGTGATTTTCCTTTTCTTTTTAAGATGGTCACAAGTCATTGGAACTAACGAGCCAAAAGTGTTTATGTTTGATCGGCTCCTAGGTTCTGAGTTGTGACATGGGATGTGATTTTACGGGTTGGGCTCACTCACCTGAAGTTGAGACTTTGCTGCTAGCTCCTGGTAAGATGGGGACTGGGAGTCAGCGAGCTCTGTGTTGAACTTCTGGTTTGCCAGAGAGATGCTGAACTCTACTTTTTGCTCCAGTGGGCCCTCAGACACATCAATAAATTCTGTTTCTCCTTCCTGAGTTAAAAAAAGGACTTTAATTAACATAAACCACATACAAATGGTTACATTTTATATATAATGTATATGTTGATTTATCTCAAGAACTGGACTATGAAGGCTCAAGTGTTTTTTTTTTTTTTTTTTTTGAGAGATTTTCACTGTAGGGCGCGTGCGCTCGCTAGACAGACAGAGAGAGACATAGAGACAGAAAGCGAGAAATCACCCCCCAGGGGGGATGGTCACGCCGCAATCCCTTCTCCTCCATTCTCCTCTCGGGATCTTGGGCACGCACGCACACGCGCCCAGCGTGAGTTTTAAGCCACCGGGTCCGGGACACGAACCGCGGTCGACTACATGGGAGTCCAGCGACATAGCCATTACGCTAACTGCTGGTTCCCAAGGCTCAGGTGTTTTTAGATTACAGTCCTATTAACTAGCCTATGAAATTTCTGTGAGAGACAAAGTTCTTAAGCTTTACTGATTAATTATTAGCTACTTGAGAACGCTGTCATTTTATGCCTGTGTGATCTTCATGATGTGTTTGCATATGTATACACACACACGCACATAACATTCATGTGTATAGTCACATATTTAAAGGGATTTGAAAAATGGAATCGATCGGGACTCTAAAAAGTCATTGAAAAATGGAATTAAAGTATAATTTTATTTTGATGCCAAAATATTTTGACAACCTTGCACAGTTTTTTCATAATACATATTTTCCACGAACTTTTTGAAGACCCTTCATAAATATTGCTGATGCATCCCACTTAGATGGTTGACTTTATAAATACTCATTTGTGAGGACTAGCTTAGACAAAATAACCTATGGATTCTGAAATGTTTAATACAATACTTTTAAGAGAAGTGTCTAGACTAGTTTAATGAGAATATCTGTGTTTGACTCTCACATAGAAAATATTTAGAAAGTACTTTCTCTCTGAAGGAATGACATTTTGGGGTCATCTTTGGAAACATATACCTAAGAATAAGAGCACTGTCTGAGCATCCAGATTTTGCCTTGTTCCCAAAGGACCAGAAATCATTGTTTTTGCTTTTTAAGTTCACAAACAAGCAGGGGTCTTCCATTGCTCTGAATTCACTTGGCTTCCGTGGTACAGAGCAAGCCTTGAGCTGGGTTTCAACATGGATTTGATAGATTTACAAACTCAGGTACCCAGAGGATACTCGAATATTTACTGCTTTCTTAAAAGTGTTAAAAGAATTATGTCTGAAAAAGTGAATGTTTCTGATTACATACATGATCTCTTTCAGTGAAATTAGAGGCATGAAGGTGAAAGAGGAGAACAACTCATGAAATTTCCCTGCAGGGCAGAATGACAACTGGTAGCAGGTGGATTTCCTCCTCATTTCTTTCCACCAACTCTCCTTGTCCATAGGCAAAGACAACAGAGCAGTCTCTAACATTAATAGGGCACATGGAGGACATAGAGTCATACTTAGTAGTTTACTGATGTTCGTTAAAAAATGTTCATTCATTCATTTATTCAAAAGATACACTGAGCATCTGTGTGGGTGTAACACAGTGCTATGATCTATTGGAAACTGAAAGAAAATTATGGCATATGGTATTCTTTTCTAGAATCTTATTTCATTAGGCAGATTGGAAGTTCACATGAAACTCTAGGTGAATTCTTTAAATATATTAGTGAGAAGGTCCTAACCAAAGGTATCCTCAGCCACTGGATTAATTTTTCATGCCTGTCATTTGGCGCCTTCAGAGACTGCCTATGCATACTTTTTGTTGACATTCAAGGCTCTCTGTAGTCTGATTCCTACCTGTTTGAATAATTTTAGTCTCACTTCTCTGCCCTGACAGCCAAATTCATCTAGTCACTGTTGTTCAGACACTGCATTGCCAGTCTCCTGACTGGGAACCTTTCTCTCTGCTCTCCATCCCCACCCCCAACAATCACACACACACACACACACACACGCACACGCACACGCACACACACACACACCATGTAGCCACAGAGGAGGCTTTTTTTTTTTTTTTAATTTTTTTACTAATATGCTGGGATTCATTTGAGATAATATATCTTCTTATCAACTAGGGAAGAAGAAATTTCTGCTTCTTTTAAATTCCTATCATTGATTAGTACCTGACTTGCTCACTTGGTACCTATGACATACTCACAGCCTTTATATGCAAACTTCATGGCCCCACATATCATATTCATACCCTTGAATCCAGCATGATTCTCAAAGTTCACCGAATCTCTCAAAGCGAAGAATCATGGGGCTATAGAGGCAGGGTAAGGAATGAAGACAGCCAGGTTCTAGTCTGCCATTCCTTATATGTGAGGGGTCTTCAAAAAGTTCATGGAAAGTAAATATGAAAAAACTGGATGGATTTCAATTTATTTATTTATTTATTTATTTTTTTTTTGAGAGGTTTTTGCTATAGGGGACGTGCGCTCACCAGACAGACAGAGAGAGACATAGAGACAGAAAGCGAGAAATCACCCCCCAGGGGGGATGGTCACGCCGCAATCCCTTTTCCTCCATTCTCCTCTCAGGATCTTGGGCACGCACGCACACGTGCCCGGCGTGAGTTTTAAGTCACCGGGTCCAGGACGTGAACCACGGTCGACTACGTGGGAGTCCAGCGACATATCATTACGCTAACTGCTGGTTCCCTATTTATTTATTTTGCACACTGAAATTAACTCGTACTATAATTCCATTTTTCATGACATTTTTTAAAATAAATTTTTGCCATAAAGCACATGTGCATGCCAGAGAGAGACAGAGACAGTAAAAGGGAATATGAGAAATCACCCCTCAGCGGGGATGGCCATGCTGCAATCCCTTCTCCTCCATTCTCTTCTTGGGATCTTGAGCATGTACATGCACACTCACATGGCATAATTTTCAAGCCAGCAGGTCTAGGATTTGAACGGTAGTGGGCCATGTGGGAATCCACCAACATAACATACCATCTGCTAGCCCTTTCCAAGAACTTTTTGAAGCCCTCCCTTGTATTTCTGTCTTCTTTGAAGTCTGCCCCCCCTCCCCCCCCAGCAATGACAGCCACTTTGTTATTTGGTAGTCATGAGAACAGTGTTTTCCTGCTTTAGTAGAAAAAAACTGAGTGTCTGGTCTCCAAGCCATTGGGGAGGTTAAAAATACATACTCTGTTAAAAAAATATGCCAGAAGGCATATGCATATAAGAGAGAGAAGAAGAAAGAAAAAGTACCCCCAATGGGATCTGGTCACACCACCTCAGTCCCCTTTTCTCGATTGCTTCATCCTGTCAGGTTCCTGGGCATGTGCACCTGGCTTGTTTTTTGAGCTGCTGACCAGGATTTGAACTGTAGCCGGTCATGTAGGATCTGGCTTCCTACACAGAGTGCTTATCCACTGTGCTATAGTCTAGCCTGTAACAAATTCTCTCCTTGTTTGAGAGCCAACATTAATTTATTCAGTCTTCATTCTGCATACCTCAGAGTGGTGGTCCTTAAGCCTTCTTGCCTTTGAACCCTTTTTATTTTCCCCCATTTGACAAGCATTGTTTGAATGATTTTGATATCTTTCTGACCAGTCTGGACATGACAGAAAACAAAAGCTCTACTTTTATTGTGAACATGGGCAATAGAGTGGAGAAAAACTTTGGAGGAGAAAAACCTTCATTGATTGATTGATTTCATTCCTTCTAGTGCTTGGTGAGTGCCTACTATGTTTAAAGGTCTGTTAGGTACTGGGGAAAAGGGCTCCTGCCTTCCAGAATTTATAATTAAATTGCTTCTTGTAATTACCCACTTTATCCTCATTCTCTTATTTCTTTAATAATAATGCCTAGAAAGAAGTTAGAACTACTAATAGAACAAAATCATTGACTCTTAATCAGAGTGGTAATGTTGAATGACTAGTCATCTATTCTTTTTTTTTTTTTTTGCCAAACAGGCATAGAAAGAGTTAGATTGACTCAGAATTTCTTACTGTTGTAGGCATCTTGCTAATGTTGAGGGTGGTATTGAGAATCTCATTGAGGACTATGTCATCAGGAGTGAGAGGGAGAGGCCCGAGTGAGACACCAGGAACATCTATGGAAATTAAGAAAAGTAAAGGCACAAACATGAGACTAAGGATTTTAAATTAGAACAACTTCAAAATTCCATATGCTTTTTCTTCTGTCACTCTGGAATTTACAGATGTCAGGTGCATTCTTTTCTTTTACTTTTTTTTAAAGAATAATTTATTTAATTTTATTTATTCATTCAATCATTTTTATTTGACCAGAGAAAGACAGACACACACAGAGAGAAGGAAAGTGAGAAAGCAAGCCACCAGGTCTGAGACTCGAACTGTGGTTGGCCACGTGGGAGTGTCCAGCACTTTAATCACTATGCCATCTGCTGACCCTTAACTTATTTTTTAAAGATTGCATTAATATGTTCTTGAAAAAGGATATAGCTCATACTTTTTAAAAAAATTGACAGAAAACTTATAAAGGGAATTAACAACTATAAAACTCTTTTTATAGTTAAAGAATGCATTTACCACTAGCTTTTTTGGAATTTAAACTAGGCTGTTTTCATTATTAGCTACAAGTCAATGTGAAAAAGATAAATTAGCTGAACTTAGATACTCAAATCTCTCCTAAGATATTAAAGTTATGGCAGCTTTCTCTGAATGTCAGAAAATAAATGGGGAAATGATATTGTCATGAGTTAAAAAATATTTATTTTTCTTGGGATCAGCAGTTAATGTAGTGGCTATGTCACTGGACTCCCATGTAGTCAACCGTGGTTTGAGTCCTGGACCCAGTGGCTTAAAATCACGCCGGGCTCGTGTGTGTACGTGTCCAAGATCCCGAGAGGAGAATGAAGGAGAAAGGATTGCGGTGTGGCCATACCCCCTGGGGGTGATTTCTCGCTTTCTGTCTCTCTGTCTCTCTCTGTCTTTCCGGCAAGCGCACGTGCCCTATAGCAAAAGCCTCTAAAACATTTTTATTTTTCTCAATTCCAGATGTTAAATGATCAAAAGTTGATGTATTAAAACATTATTAACATAACTAAAAATCAGTAAAACTGAGGAAAACATTTACCAGAAGATTCATAGTTTTATTTTGTATATTTAAAAGTATTCTTAAATTATATGGGAAAACAGTAAGACTGCAATAGAAAAATACATAAAATATTTCAATCATTTAATAAACATAATAGTATTATTTTCTCTTTCCTTTTGGCAAACATTAAAACAAACAGTAATATTCAATATTGACAAGTATGCAATGAGACAAGCTGTTGTCTTTTTGACAAGTGGGTCATTTAAATAGTAAAAAACATTCTGGAAAACAGTTTGTCCAAGCCTATTAAGACTTAAAAATTCATAGTCTTTAGTACATTTGAGAAGTCAGTGATTTAACAGAGATTTATGTTTAAATATTTAAACATGATCTGTAATGGCGTAAAATGGAATGGTTAATTTAATTACATTTATATGGATGCACTAGAATGTTGAAAATCATTAAGATGATTATTTAGAAGTTTTAGTGAAGTTATAAAATGTTATTTATGTATTTTAGGTGGAGAAAAATGGCTCGAACGCTAGGTAATTATGGTCTTTGTAATATATCTAAATATAGAGATGAAGGACTGCAGGAAATGGGCAAAAATGTTGACGGTTGTCTTCAAATTGTAGGATAATGGGTGATTTGGTTTTATCTTTATTCTTTTCTATAGTCTAAGATTATACAGTGAATTAAATTATTTTATAAGGTTAAAGCTACAAGTTAGTTTAAAAAAATGCATTATAAACTTTGTCAGCTTCAGTTAAGGATTGCTTTGGAAATAACATGGCTCCGTGATGATTTGAACTAAAGTTCAGTAACAGACAAAATGAGATCTTAGCTTACCTGTTGAAAACAAAGGGATTTCACTGGGCTCTTCCAAGGTCTCCTCTGTGGAGGTTTCATCTTTTCTGTTAAGAGAATAAAAAGAGAAAAGAGGTGGTGAAAAGAAACTTGATGGCAATAGTAAATATACATTTAAATGAATAGACCTACAAATTAGAGAGTTTAACTTAAAACTGGATTTGTCTTTTTTTTTCCTTTTAGGTAGAAAAGTAATATTACAATATGTTCTTATTGAAGAAAAGTCCAAATAGCCCCTCAGAATGATTATTTGACTCTAGGGTTTTCCATAGTATCTTGGCTTTGTGGGGTCCTGAGAGCACTTCCGTAGTAGGCAAGGCTGGTCCCTGGGGTGTAATGTTTTCTGCTTTTGTGCTTACATTCTGTCTTAGACAGCAGTGCAAATTGATAACATCATCTGTGGCTGAAATATTGTGATTAAAATATCAGATACTCAAGCCTGCAAATCCGGAGTCATCAAACTATCTGACAAAGTAACTCTTCTGGTTAGAGTAATTACAGAGAGAGAGCTTTCTGGGTAATGAAGGTGCATTAAATCTGCACTCTGGACACAGCCACTGCCAGCAGTGGGAACCAGGCAGGGAGTAGGGGTAGGAGGTCTGCAGTGCCATGAAATGGCAGGAGTGAAAGACATTCTGGGGCAGATTTAAGGGCATGGTAATAGAGCCGTCTGCACATAATGATGGCCCATTCTAACAATTTTTATTTAAAAGGTAGTAGTAGTAGTGGTATTTAAAAAAATTACTCACCAAAAGATTTGTTACCATAAGTTATTAAGTCCTGAAGAATTGTGTTTGTGTTAGTATATAAAGTAGTAGTTGACCAATATATTTGGCTGCTCTGTGGCTTATGATGATGGGAAGTTTGAAGATGCTCTCTTGTTTTAGACTCACTAGATTGTTCATAACCAACAGTTATCACTTACATACTTACTACCATACCTAATTCTCCCGAAGTGCTAATAAGTGTAATATACAAAACATTATCAATTAGCCTGGCAAGGGCACTGGCCAGTCAGAATAGATGTCAGCTGTAAACGTAGCTGACTATATTGGTGCACACAGAACAAATACAAATGTAGAGCCTGTAGTGGAATTAGGAATCATCTCCTATTGCTATTTTTTTTCTTGTATTATGCTATACGATTAATACATAGATTTTATGGAGATCATAATTCATAAACAAATATAGCATTTTAAAAATAATTATTTTACTGAACTTTATTTATTTATTTATTTTAATTTGACCAGACAGGGAGAGAGAATGTGAGAGAGAGAGAGATAAAACAAGAAAGGAAACTGCCAGGTCCAGGACTCAAACTGTGGTTGGCCATGTGGGAGTCCAGTATCCTTAACCACCATGCCACCTGCCAGCCCCTAAACATAGCACTTATAATGTAGACAATTAAAAAAAAACTTTTTAGATCTTTGCTTAAAGTGAGATCTCCCTCCTCCTATTATTACTTCAGTCTCTTTGTTTTGCCTGCTGTAAAAAGAAAAACGACAAAGAAGAGTAGTTATTAGAATGTCAGCCATCATTAATAAGTCAACAGTACACATGGTGCAGGACTCTGTTGAATGCTGCTTCTTTATCCTTTATTATTAGGTAGGGTTCTGCCACTAAACTGCAATTTGTACATCAGTAAGGAGCTGTAATTTGGGAAACTGATCCTCTTGGTCCTAGCACTGGCTTTTATTTCAAACTCATTTGAAATTGGCAGATTTATGGGCTACTCAAGTGACAAATGACCTATTTTGTCTTCTTGGAAAGATTTCTTTTTCACTTTTTTATTTTTAAACAACTTGGTATCCATAGACATTATAAAATGTAGCTTCTTCTTTGTCTCCAGCAATGTTGGGAGATACAGAAGTGAATGAAATGATTTTTTTTTTAATCTTTCTGAAATGGGAAATTGTCCCTTATAACTTTTAATGTTTCTCTATCAAGATTTGATACATTTTGTTATGTTTTTATTTTCCTATGGTAGTTCCAGTTTTGCTTTCTTTTCTTTTTCTTTTTTTTTTTTTAATCAAAGAGTAAGTAAAGTATCATTCTATATTTAATTGGGAGGAGTCAGTATCTCTGTGTCTCACTAAGTTAATACTCTAGTACTAAGGTTTTCTGAAGTCACATTATTTCTCCTGGTATTTACTTTTCAAAAT